CACCCCATCGCTCTCACCTTTCCACCCACATGAGGGAATGTTATACTATTCCACTGGTAGGTAAATTCAGCTTGTATAGTAGAAATGTATTCCGTACACGTTGCATTTAATTATTTAGGTGTATGTCATTGTCCCTGTCGATTTACCCCAATCCCAGTAGGATGTAAGCTCTTTGGTACTTTTTGTTTCTGCCTTTATACCTCCAATACCCAGCCCAAGCAAACTTTCAGAGGACTACCAGAAAGGCAGCCTTCCCTTGGGGACTGGACAAGCACTTGAAAGCACCTTTCTTTAAAGAAAAAGAATCGTGTACTGTGCCATTATTAGTTTGCCTTGTAGTGACTTCAAAAATGTATAACATTAGATCATTTGTCACAAAACACTGAAAAGCAAGAGTTATCTCAAACTTCATTATCTCAAACTTCATAGTAGCTATTAATAAGCCTTTGAGTACAAGTAGATCTGATTCAGGAAATTTAACAATAAAGATTACTAGATAAAAGTTAAAGTTTTGAGCTTCTAAACATATTTTTAACATTTTTTTAAAAATGTGTGTTAAACTGCAGTGCTCTCCCATCACTGAAATCATTAATGATATAAGCAGAGAGGAGCTTAGTATGACAACAATAATCTTTTTGTACCCTGTTACCCATTTATTTTCAGCTAAAAATAAAATAAAATGGAAAAAAAATGTGTTAAAAAAACAATATTTTTTTTAACATTAAAGAATGTTAAAGACTATTGCCTTACATTCTTCCCTGTTCCAGTCTATCCTCCGCTCAACTCTCAAAGTGACTGTCCTAAAGCTCAGGTCTGACCATGTCACCCCCTATTCAATAATCTCTAGCTTATTACCTCCAGGATCAAATATAAAATCCTCTGTTTGGCTCTCAAAGCCCTTCATAACCTTTCCAGTCTCCTTACTCTTGACTCCCCACCACATACTTTATGATCCGGTGACACGGGCATCCTTCACTGTTTCTCATACAAGCCACTCGTCTCTGGACTGTGCTTCTGCACTGGCCGTCCTCTATACCTGGAACTAATTCCCTCCTCATCTCTGTCTCTAGGTTTCCCTGGCTTCCTTCGTTTCCTATTTGCATGCTCTCTCCCCCATTAGACTTTGAACATTTTAAGGGCAGTGTCAACAGGCACTCACCATGTCAGGAGACTTATGTGAAAACCAGGTTTATTACAAGAGAAACCTACATGCATCTCAGAAAGACAAGTTGAGGGGCCCCTGACCAGCACTTAACTGCAGGCACTGTCCTTTCCCTTTCTTTCTACCCCCAGTGCTCAGCATGATGCCTGGTACACAGGAAGCACTTAAGAAATGCTTGCTGACTTGCAAACAAAAAACCAGAGCCAGCTCTGTCTCTGGTCAGATCGCCTCTGTAAGTCTCATTTACCACTGGCTTTTTCTGCCCCTCAAAACAACCGGTGACTCTACTCTCTTCTATTCCAAGAAAGCAACACGTGTGCGCTGTTAAATACTGACCAGCAGCTCGGCTAAACTGATATACTCAGTTAGCCATGCATGGGCAGCGGAATCCAAAATTTTAATTTCTTTTTTTGCCCAAGTCTCTTCTAAGAGTAAAGTTACAAGTAAATAATCATCTATTTTGGGGGTAGCTAGGTGGCACAGTGGATACAGCACCTGCCCTGGATTCAGGAGTGGACCTGAGTTCAAATCTGGCCTCAGACACATAACACTTACTAGCTATGTGACCCTGGGCAAGTCATTTAACCCCATTGCCTAGCCAAAAGAAAATCATCTATTTTTAATTTGGCTAATTCTGGGGAGGGCAGATTGGGGGAGGGGGTAATCAGAAGCAAACACTTCTAAGGAGGGACAGGGTCAAAAGAGAGAATAGAATAAAAATTGGGGGACACGATAGGATGAAAGCAGATATAGTTAGTTTTTCACAACATGACTACTATGAGAGTGTTTGACATGACCACACGTGTATAACCTATATCAAATTGCTTGCCTTCTCAATGAGGGTGGGTGGGGAGGGAGGAAGGGAGAAAATTTGGAACACAAAATTTTAAAAACAAATGTTAAAAATTGTTTTCACATGCAACTGGGAAATAAGATATACAGGCAATGGGGTATAGAAATCTATCCTGCCCTACAGGAAAATAGAAGTGGAAGAGGATAAGAGAAGGGGGGAGAGGTAGAAGGAAGGGCAGATTAGGGGAAGCAGTATTCAGAACACATGCTGTCTTGGGGTGGGGGAGGGACAAGATGGGAAGAAAATTTGGAACTCAAAATCTTGTGGAAGTGAATGTTGAAAACTAAAAATAAATAAATTAATAAGAGAGAAAATAAAAGTAAAAAAAGTGAGAAAAAAGGTCACAAAAGAAGACTCTTGGGTCATAAATCATGGAAGACAAACTGACTATTTTATCAGTCATATCTAAGAATCTATTATTTTCTGACTCTGTAAGAGATAAAAATTTGGGGACAAAATAGTAATGGCTCATATATGTGTATATATATACCTAAAATAAATTACTTAAACATTTTATTTGGCTAATTCTCTTTGGTTAAAATCCTGGTATTCTAGTTTTAAGTGAAGAGAAAAGTTGGTATCTATTAAGTTCAAAACTATAAATATATATAACTATAAATATATCATAAACAGAGTGCTAGAACCATTCTGGGAATAGTAGCATATTCTCTATAACTGGTCTGTTTAACCTGAATGCACATATGATGGCTATTTTCATTTAAACAATACTTTTCTATAAGGAAGAAAGGAAGGATGAAAGAAAGGAAGAAAAAAGAAGGAAGCATTTATTAATCATCTACTATGTTCCAAGCACTGTGCTAAGTGAATTACTAATATCTCACTTGATCCTCACAACCCTGAGAGAATAATATCTTAAAGAATTCAAGATACTATCCAATAATTTTTTAAGTGAATGTGATTTCAACTGGATATATTTGATGTGGAATACAGCAGGTATGGAATGTCTGATGACATTCTATGTCCACCATATAGGAAAAGATTATGTAAGTATGACAAAGGACAGCTGGAGTATTTCCACTAAAGATAAAGGAGAATCCCTATTTTATCTTAGATTTTTTTCCCCACTGACACTCAATAAACTTTTATTAAGTGCCTACTATGTACCAGGTGCTGCGCTAATAAGCACTGGAGATAACAAAGAAAGGTGAGAGACAGTCCCTGCCCTGAGGAGCTGTCTGATGAGGGAGACAGATATAACACAAGGAGTTAAAAGCAAGCTAACTAAAGGATAAATTTGAGGTAATCAACAGAGGGAAGGCACCGCATTAAGAGGGATCAAGAAAGGCTTCCTGTAGAAGGTGGAATTTTAGCTGGCACTTGAAGGAAGCCAGCAGGTTGGGGATAAAAAGGGAAAGAATTCCAGGCATGGCGGGCAGCCAGTGAAAATGCCTGCAGTCTTGTGTGGGCAACAGCAAGAAGACCAGTGTCATTGGACTGCAGAAAATTGTTTCAATGATAAAATATAATCATCCTGTGATTCAGTGAACACAAGTAAACATTACTTGCTAGGACTCAGCACCTAGGCACCAAAAATGGCGAAGGAGAGAGGCAGTTTGATGTAGGGAAAAGTGCACTAGCTGGAGTCCGAGGACTCGGATCAGGGCCAGAGCTCTGCCCATCATTACATAGGTGACTTCATTCCTTAGGGCCTCAATGTCCACACCTCTACAATGGGGAGGTTGGATTCTGTGGTCCCTTCCAGCTCTACTTTTACGATTCCAGAAGGAAGAGACGAGTAAGTAAGTGCCTCCTTGAGGAGTCGTCCCTCTGCAGGTGATTAAAAGGGATTTGTCCCATTTTAGTTCTTTGCATTAGACACCGAGGTGCGGGGTTTGATACGCACGGAGAGACGTGGCCATAAGTGCAGCTGGGGAAGCAGCGGCAGCTGTAGCTGCTGCCCAGCTATTCGATGCAGCGCCGGAAGAAGGGATGCGGAGATGGAGGGATGATGAGGGAGGGATGGGTTGTGGATCCGCCTCCCCGCCAGACTGCTGCTGTCCTCAGCACGTGCTGCCCCACAGCCTATCCGGTTAACGAGGGCGGGCCAGACTCGCCCGGGGGACTCCACCCTAGGGCCCCCTCGCAATCCTGGGATCCCAATTGGCTCTGCACTGTGGGACCTCCCCCTCCTCTCTCTTTCGAGACCCCCAAGTCAGTGTCTCTGGGTCTGAGAGATTGGACGGCCCCAAGAGTTCCTCCGCCAGAGCAGCGGCAGCCGGGGAGCCTAGCGGGCCATCCTCCTTTTTGGAGGTGCCCATCTCCTTTTTCTACCCAAGAGCCCTGGCCCCTCGCGGGAAACTGAGGCATCTCCAGTCCCTAGCCAGTTTACCCTAGGAGCCTTAGCTTTCCCACTCCCCGCACTGCTCCCGCCTCCCGCTCCTCCCCCTCGCCCCATAAATAGCCACATCTCGTTTGTTCCTCAGTAACCAGAACCGACGCTGGTTCAGCCTGCTCTCACCCCCGAGCTGGGCCTGGGGCTGGACCGCGCTGGGCGTAGGGAGAACGGAGCACGGCGCGGGGGTGGGAGTGAGCCGCGCTGGCCAGGGGCTGCCCGGTAGGCGGAGCGGGGGGCGCGCAGGAGCGAGGATGTCGGGGCCGGGAGCTTCTCACCCGCTCTCTCCGGGTTAAAGGCGGCAAGAAAGGAGCACACATCCTCTCTTCCGTCCGTCTGTCCGTCCCTCCCTCCTCTCCTCTCTCCCTCCCACCAGTAGCACAGACAATGACCGACAGTTACCCCACGCTGCAGCAGCTGGGCCGGGGACCAAGTCCCCACCTTGCTCGCAGGGCAGGGAGGGGACTCACACCTCTCCCCACCTCCCTCCTGTGCATCCTTCTCCCTCCTCCTCCCCCAACCCCCCAGCCCTCGGCAGCCCCCTACCGCCACTCTCAGCAGGACCCCAGCGGCCCCGGCTGCAGCTGGGGCCCCATCCCCAGGGGCAGCGCCAGAGCCCTGGGCGCACTTACCGCTCCTGGCCAGCCCCGGGTCAGCTGCTTCACAGGACACTAGTCCCTAGGCTCCCCAGCTCCTCGATGTTGCCCCCGGACCCCCCCGAAAGCTGAGCCTGGTTGCAGTGGAGCCTCTCATCCTGCAGCCGCGGTCCCCTGGCCTTCCAGATCCGCTTGGCCTCAGCCCCAGGCTGGTTCGAGCAGGTGGAGGTGATCCCCGCCGCCCTCAGCCCTTTGCCCCCGCGGAGCCGGGGGGCTCGGGGGTGCTTGGGTAAGAGCTGAGCGTCCAGCCTGTGCAAGCTCAAGTCTCCACAGTCTTTCATTCCTATACCGGCTAATTCTGGTTTGGCAGGAAAAATGTTGCAGTCACCTCACATGCACACTCTTGTGGCTGGTTGAAGTTTATAGCTCCGGCTGGGGCTGGGCTGTCATCCTGAGAACTGGTCCCTGATGGAGCAACATCAGCTCTGAGTCCCAGCTGTAGGTGGTGGTGGGGGGTCTCTTCATCTGAAATCACTGCTGGGGTGGGTCAGCAAAGGACAAACCCAAATTGTAGATGGCACAGCTTGCTTATAAAAAGGAAGAAAGTGTACTTGGAAGTATACTTTCAAAAGGAGGGCAGGGGCAAGCTCTTTACCATTTCCCAGTCTGTGTCCTCTCATCTCCAGAGAGGTGGCTGTCCCTGTTGGCTCTAGGCGGCAAAACGGATAGGAGTTTGGAGTCAGGAAGACTAGAGTTAGAATCCTGCCTCAGACATGAACTGCATGACGCTAGGGCAAGTCATTTAACCTTTCTCAGACTCAGTTTCTTCATCTGTAAAAGGGTGGCAGTAATAGTGCCTACTTCATAAGGGTGTAGTATCAAATGAGATAGTGTGTAAAATGCTCTGCAAAGCGACATATATGAATGCTAGCTATTATTATTTGTCAATCCCTTAAGGTCCCACTGCAGCTTGTAAACTTTGATCCTATCTCCTCAATGACCTAGCACAAAGCCTCATTTAACCCTCCCTCTTAGAATCCCTGGCTACCTTGTCAGCCCCGATCAACTTCCTGACTTTGCCTTCCCCCCGAATTACTGCTATTTACTGTGTAAATATTTTTATCTAGTTATTGTGTACATGCTGTCTTCCCCCTTCCCCATGTCAAACCCTCGATGTCAGGGTCTTTTTGTTTGTTTGTTTTTGTATCTCCAGAACCCTGCATGGCAAATAGGGTTAGGGATTTAACTTGTGATTTTGTTGGTATAAGGAACTTCTCGGTGAGGAAATTCTCTCAGCACCTTCTCTGCAATTTATAGTCTTAGAACCTAGAACCTAGAAAGGTTAAATGATTTCCCCAGGGTCACAAAAGCAGTATAGATATCAGAAGCAAGATTGAACTCAGGGCTTCCTGGGTCAGAAGATGAGGGCTCTCTATCCACTATCCCACCTTGCCTCTCAGGCACAGAGTAGGCACTTTAATAAATGTTTGTTGATTGACTAATTGCTTAGTAGTAGTTCTCAACAAATATTTTTTCAACAAACTAAGGAAGAAATGGAGGCAGTGTAGTATTTTGTAACCCACTGCATTTGGAATCAGAAGACCAGGGTTCAAATGCTTGTGCTTTTTACCCAGGCAGTCAAGTGACTGAATCTCTCTGGGCCTCTGTCTCCACATTTGTAAAGTGAAGGGGCTGTATGGAGGGAAGAGTATTTGCAGAAATAAATGATGTTAAAACAAAAGACATCATCAATAAAATACCTTTTTAAATAATTGAATAAAAAGGGGTTAGGTGACCCCTAAAGTCCTTTCCAGCTGAAAGTGAGCTAGATGATCAGCTAGATGACCTCTAAAGTCCTTTCCAGCTCTAAATCCCTGACCCTAAGCAATCACCATTTATGCCTACTAATGCAATTTCTGAGCATCCTTCATTTGGTTTCTAAAGTACATTGTGATGGAGACAGTCTAGTATGGTTTTTATGGAGCTTGGGCAAGCTTAAACTCTGAGTCTCAAATTTCTTCATCTTTAAAATGTGAGTAACAATGTCAGTAGTCAGTACAATTGTTCAGGGCTGTTAGGAGAGTGCGATTATCAAATAAGGTTAATAGTTTTATAAATCTTACAGATTTTAGACAGATTTTATCCATACCTATATCTAGATATATCCATATGTAGAGATGATTCTAGATATAGATATCTACAGATATAGATTATAGATATATGTCTATAAATTATGTCAGTATTCATGGCAGTTTCTTCAAAGAAATCTAACAATGTATTATCATCCTTACCATATGTACTATCATTTTATCATATCATACATTAACATATGCATTATTACCCTCACCAGCCTGTCAGACCCTCAAATCTGTTCTGACACATGGGGAAACAATACATTCTTTGCAGAATGAACTAGGAAATCAGAGGAAGACAGAGCATACATCTGCTGTACACACACACACACACACACACACACACACACACACACACACACCCCTTGTTCTAAGTCCCCACAAGCTGTATTGCCCTCACATGTATGCATCCACACATCCCTACTTTACAGAGGAGAAATGAGATAAAGAAGTTAAATGACTTCTCTGAGTTTCCTTGGGATGTTAATGGTAGGTCTACTGATTTTTGTCTAGGGTAGGAAGGATTCTTGGCCTTTGGGGAGTCATAACACAACCATTTTGTCACATTCTTCACACCTTCACTGCCCCCCCTTCCTCTCCTCTCTTGCTTCCCCCCTGAAGACTGCATGGAATTTTAGAAAGTTGATCAAATTTTCATTTTCCATAATTTTACAGGACACTTTGAGGTTATCAGATTCATCCTGGGGAGAAGTAAAAATTGGCAGACCATTATTTTGCTATTAGGACGTTATGTTTTGCTAATAGGTCTTCTGTGACTGGATATCAAACTGATGTGGAGGGAGGGTAATAAAAACAGAACGCAGACAAATGGGGAAAGAGGGGGAAAAACCAATAACAACAGGGAAAGAAAAGGAAATCAAGGAAACAGATGGCTTTCTTCTTCCTGCCATCTGCTTTTGGGGCGGGTGTTCCTGTGGGCACTTAGCCTGGAGTCTCTCCTGATGCTATAGGAGGGGGACCCAGAGCAGCCAAAGCCTCACATTAAATTAAGCACTTGAAAATTAAGTGATTCCCTTCCAAGCAACACTCCACTGTGTCAGCTAGCAGCTAACATTATTATTCTAGGTCTGGACTTTAGGGTCACTTGGGCACTTGGAAGATTGGCATGAAAGATGTTGACAGTGAAAGCCCTGCTGAACCCTTTAGCAAAAGGGTCTCACAGAGCACCGAGTGGCTCACAACTTGACCACCTTCAACTCAGAGAGTTACTCTCACCTCAGATTAACTGAGACCAAAAGAGGTCCCAGCATCACCTAGTCATTGCATCAGTCAGCAACCAACATTAATGTACCCAATGTGTGCAAAGCATTGTACCAAGTCTTATAGAAAGAATACCCCACAAAAAAACCTTAGAAAAAACTCACAAAGCCATCTCAAAAATACAAATTAATCTGTCAACAAGAGGGACTTGTTCAGCTGGCCAATCAAGGATGGCTGCCTAGAGGAAGTATATTTTAAGGCAGATTTTGAGAGATTTTAGAGAAATGGATGGGCTCATCACAGACTCCCCATCCTTGGAACTTTACTATAAAAGCCTTTGGAATTATACTGCAAGGCACTATTTCCCAGAATGGATTCACTTTCCTCCAGGTATGTAAACCACCTATTCAAGGCTATTTAATTCCAGGAGGTCTATGATCTAATGGGGTCTAAAAATGCCTTCAGTCCTCCACTATCACCATATATACTTCAATTAAGAGTCAATGGTAAGCCCAGGGTTGGGAGTGGGAACTGAGGGTGAGGGGAAGATGGCAGTCTCTAGAACAATAAAGAAAGGAGAATCATTTCTGAGAAATCTCTCAAATCTGGGTAGCTCATTCCAGGGAAGATTCCTGGAATTTCAGGCTACAAAAGCCAGAGGTGTACAACCGGTATATAAATTTAGGACAAATAAACTGGTTTTAAAATCTGAACTTTATCATAATAGTAATGCTTCTATGTGGTACATACCCCGACCTAGGGTTTCCTTTGAAAACTTCTAAATTTAGTTTCCAGGCAACTTACCTGAAGGAAACTGAGGTAACCAGCAAGCATTTTGAATATATTCAGCAATTTGGTTCAACGTATATTTATTAATCTGCCAAGGGCAAGGGGTACAAAGACCAAAATAAAAAACCATCTCTGCCCTTAAGAAGCCTGCATTTTCACAGGAGATGCAATACGTAAACATGTAAGCATAAGGTAACTGGAAAAAGGAAAAATGGCACCCAGAAGGACCAGGAAGGGCTTACCATAGGACATGGCTGCTGAACTGAACTTTGGAGGAAGCCAGGAATTTCAAGAGTCAGAGATAAGGAGGAAGGTCTTTCCATTTATAAAGATGGCTTGAGGAAAGACACAGAGGTAGAGGAAGGAATGCCAATTTTGGACAACAGCCACTACACCAGTTTGTCTGAAACACAGAGAACTCGAGGAGGAGTAAAATCTGGAAATGTAGGTTGGAATCAGACTGTGGTAGGGCCACAATGGGGGAAATAGTATGGTTATCTTAGAGGAAATAGAGAGACTTTGAAGACTACAGAAGAGGGGGGTGTCAGTAGTCTAATTTGTGCCCCAGGAAGATTATTTTTGCAACTATTTGGAAGATTGGAGAAGGACAAAACTGGAAGCAAGGAGACCAATTAGGAGACTATTTTTTGTAATAGTTGAGGTGAGAGATAAGCATGTGAGTAGGAAGAAGGGGACAATTCAAGAAATGTTGTAGAAATATGTAGAATCAACAAAACTTGGCAACTAATAGGATAAGGAATATAAAGGGGGGGAAGAGTCAAGGATGACTGAGGTTGTGAGTCTGGGTGATTGAAAAGATAGTGGTGCCCTCGATAAAATAAGGAAGTTTGGAAAAGGGGGCATTTGGGGGGGCAAGGTGGTGAGTTCCATTTTAGACATGTCCAATTTGAAATGCCACTGAAATACTGAAGTGTAGATATCCAACAGGTAATCAGAAATGTGGGACAATGATTTAGGAGAGA